CAAGGCAGGCGGCGAAACCACTGAACCAAATCCTCTGCTGATCAGCCATGAATTTTTTTTTTTTTTGAGATGGGGTCTCACTATGTAATTCAGACTGCCCTGGAACTCACTGTGTAGCCCAGGCTGGTCTCGAACTCATAGTGATCTTCCTGGCTCAGCCTCCCGAGTGCTGGGATTAAAGGCATGTGCCACCACACTCGGCTGTCAGTCATGATTTTAAATGAGGGAGGAGTAACAAAGCCTTGGGTAACACTTCACATCACACCAGCCAAGGACAGGAAAAGCCCCACTGCCCCAGCTATCTTATCAGTACATTGAGAACCTTTACTTTATTTAGTGACTGACTAGGAAGATTTGAAATGGGCAAAAAAGCCTAATTCAGAGCCCTTTAAAAGTATACAAATACGGGCCGGGGTTTAGCTCAGTGGTTCTGCTGCCTGCCTCACAAGCGCAAGGACCCAAGTTTGATCCCCAGTACCAAAAAATATATATATACAAACACATAATCTCATATATAAACTTACCAGTATTTGCTGTTTAAGCCAAATACTTTCAGGAATTTTTTTTCTTCATTATGTTACAATATAAGAAATGATCAGTTTAGTCCGAACACAGTTCATAAAAATGATATGTGAGTTTATGAATTTATAAATTGTTGTCATCAAGCTTGCTCATCAAGTGTGTTTAAGTGTGTCCTTGTGCCAGCCGCCTTCCCATGTGTCGTGACTGGTTACCCAGCCAATAGTATAATGAAGACACAGCTAAACTACCTTTGTTGTAGCTGTGAGCAAATGCTCCTTCTTTAATATGCATGTACTGTCTTGCAGTTTGTGATGTCTGGCTGGGGGACAGGTTATTCATTTGGATGTGATATTGTTGACTATTCACAGTCACCCAAAGCTCTGAGGGTAAGTTTCTCTTTGGAAAAATTTGAATCCAAAACCAATGTTGAAACTTTTTGCACTCTGTTTGCAGTATTGGATGTGAACTCAGAATGAAAATGAATAATTGACTCTTCGAGTTATATATGTAGTGGGAGGTAAATATTACAGGAATCCATAAGGCTTGTAGTTTCCTGAAAATGAAAAGTAGTGCTTTTCTTTTTTTAAAATTTTGTGGATTTAAAGTAAGTTAATGTGGAGTTCTTAAAAAACTGAAAAACAGGATTACCATAAGATCTAGCAGTTTCTGAGGGAATCAAAAGCAAGGACTCAAAGAGATATTTTACACTAATGATCTTAGCAGCATTATTTATAATAGCCAAAAGGTAGAAACAACTCAAGTGTCTGTGGATGGGTAAATGAATAACCAAAATGTGGTATGTATGTATTATGAAATATATCTGTATCTGTGTAGAGAGGGAGGGAGGGGAGAGATTGAATATTATTCAGCCTTTAAAAAGAAGGAAATTCTTATGCTACAACGTGAATTTTGAAATAATGCTAACTGAAATAGTACCGTCAGAAAAGGACAAATACCACATGAATTGGCTTATGTACCTAGGGTAGTCAAATGTATGAAGACAAAAAGCAGAATGATGGCTAGGGCTGAGGGGGTGGAGGAAAGAGAAGTTATTTTTGAATGGATACAGAGTTTTAATTATGCAAGATAAAAGAGTTCCATGGATAGATGGTAGTGATGATTATATAACAGTGTGATTATAATTAATATCATTGAACTGTATGTTAAAAAGTAGTCAAAATGGTAAATTTTGTTATTCATTTTACTGAAACTCTTAAAAAATAAACTTTTGTGTCAAAAAATACAAAGACATAATTTTGAGTCTGTCTGTCTTTCTCTAGATGGTACACACCTGCTGGCTTTATTACTTCTCCAAATTTATTGAGCTGTTAGACACTGTGAGTATATGGTCACCATGTTCAGTAAATGTTTGATGTTTCAGTGAAAGCAATAAACTGCTACAATTCTGTTCTCTGATAACTGGTTATCACTCCTCAAGCAAACCTACTATTATCTCTTCTGCTTTTTAGTATAAATAATGTTAGAGAATAGAATAAGCTTATTTTCTAGTATTTCTTAAACTCTAAAGGGTAGTTTTTAAAAATAATTACCATCTGACTAAGATAAGCACAGAGCTATCACATATATTACAAAACTGTAAATCTTGATGTAGAAGATGGCAGTTGTTTTGTGAAGCACGTTCAGGGAGCAAAGATCAGAGGCTATCGTATCTTTGGTTCTTAGACCAAAACACTGTGTCATTTATATTCTTTTAACAGGATAAAAGCTTCAAAATTCATAGACTTATGCTAGGAGGTGAAATTACCTCTGCATTATTATAATTTTAACTGCCTCTCTGAAATTTATGCTTACTGGGTCCTGGCTCTTCCTATTTCAGATCTTGGTGAGGGTTAACTTTGGATTTGGATGACCAGGTCCTGGGGGAAGCAAGCATCAGGGCTTAGTCTGTGCTCAGAGGAGAAAGCCATGAACCTTTGTTTCCAAGCACCTTAGGAAAGCTGGGTATTTATTATATTCCTGTGGCAAATAGATGTTTGTTATTTGGAGCTAGTATTGGTCTGAGACTGACAAATGCATTCTTTCTCTGGTATATACATCCCCACATTTCTTGTAGGAAATCTTAACATGCTTCACCTTCTCAGTTTACTAATCACATGTTGGAATAGGAAGGGAACTCAGTGAACACTGAGTTCAGTGGTTCTTAAACCTGCATGCATTAGAATCACTTGGAGGGCTTATTAAACCAGACACCTGGACCCACACCCCTGGCTCTTCTCATTTAATAGGTCTTGGGTGGGGCTCACGAATTTTCATTTCTAACAAGTTCTTAGATAATGTTAATGTTGCTTGTCGAGGAACCACGCTTTGAGAGTCCCCCCCCCCCCCCCCCCCCCCTCTCTCCT